CCAGGCTCCCATATGCGTGAATTATATATAACTCTGAATGTGCCAGGCTGTTTCAACTCGCTACTCTCCACTGGAGAGCTACTCAAGATTGTTCATGCTCATCCTTTCAGACACGTTCTCCAGTCTTTTCTCTTCCCTGCCCTTGACACACGCTGCATTCCAACCAAAATTGACTACCCATTTCTGGGACCTGAACATGTGTCGCCTGCCTCCACCTGGCCTGGGCTCGGAGGCGTTGGTCCTGAGTCCAACCTACAACTCGGATACCCAGACAATAGAACTTTATTTTTCTCGAATCCATTTCTACTTGGATTCCTCTTTCTACAGGAACTGTGGAAAGTTAATAGAAGGCAACCAGGAAGGATTGGGTAATTGGCAGGACCTCGTGCAAAATGCAAATGCCAGCCTCTTGTTCAAAAAATATTCAAGATGATGACAACAAAGCATTAAACTAAGCAGTGGTCCCTTCTGAGTATAGAATTCTGTGTGGCTAGAGAGGTCACACACCCATGAAGCTGGCCCTACAGTTAATATTGGGTTCCTTTCATCTCTGTGGTTAAGTCTAAATTCTGGGGGGCTTCCATGTTACACATGGGGGGTAGGCGGTATCTAATCCTTGGAGTCCAATGTCCATGGCATTATCTGCTGTGAAAGCCCATCTTTCAAGCCTTCATCATGGGACCAAACAAATTGCCTCATTCTCAAATGTTAAAAATATTTGAATAGACATTTTTAGCATAATTTCTGAGCTGTGCACTGGATAAACTGTTATAAAAAGCCTACACATAAAGCGAATCCAAGCAAGTCCAATTCTTATCCATGAGGTCATTCTACCTCTGCCATTGCTGCCCCAGTGCACACGGGAGGAGATTCCAGTCTGCCTCGGACTTAAACACATTCTTGCTCCCAAACCTTCAAATCTGTCCATGGGTATCACTCCCACTCGGCATTCGGCTTGGCGGGGGGCGGGGGGGGGTCACACAACAGCTATGCATTTCCTTTCTCTGCCCCTCTTCCCCCTCCATAGCCTGGAGCATCTTCCCTGTCCTGCAGATTTGTGTCGTAGTCAATTGTTTTCTATGCCCTGAGTCCTTAATATTTCCCCTCAAGATCTAAGCTGTCAATCATAAAAGCCAGGCAGCAACTGCCTTCTCTCTCTCTATTCTGCTGTTGGCATCACCGAACTAAAGATTATCTAACAGTAAAGTTGTCCCAATAGAGGAGAAATTCTGAACTCAGGGTGGGAGGGGGAGGTGAGAGTGAAATACTGGGAAGAAAGAAATCAGAAATTGGGTTGAATATTTTAAATACATCATCCAGCTACACGCCTTCTATCCCCAGGGTTGTCAAGAATCTGTATGCCTGTGGACCCCCCACTCTCCCGGCGGGTAGTGAACTCACCTACTACTTAATTCCAGATTCACGTTTTAGAAACAACTTTTATTACCTTAATATTCATTTTAGCATTTATAAAAATTAAAGTATACAAACACACACCTGGACACAGAGGCAGGGAGATATGAGAGT